GGGTGGGGGCTTTCCTCGTTGAGTGGGTCCCTGTGTAAGGAAACCCGGATCTCTAGCTTCAGCAAGCCCCCTTTCTGCAGTTTCTAGTTCTCTTCCTGTCTTGTTTCCGTCCTTGCAGGTGGGTTAAAACTCATTTTGAAGAGTGGCCCCGGAAAAAAAGACCCTGGGAGGGAGCCAAATCTGCTTTAGCCTAGCTGGGGCGCTCTTGGAGGGCTCCTTCCACTCCACGGCAGATTTCCTCTTCAGGACAAAGTCAGGATGGCTCCCTGCCCCTGTCCCTGTCCCCTTAAACCTCCTGCTAACCCTTTCCTTCCCCTGAAAGGGGAGCCCCACCTCCTCAGAGCAAGGGGCTGGCTTATGCTATTTCTGTCCTTTCTGGGATTCTTCTGAGAACAGATTCTTGTTTTTAGTCTGATTCAGATGTGAAACTTTTCCCGCGGCCTCTCACCCAGTTGTGGGCTGAGTCTCTGCCTCATCACTCCTTCCTCCAGCCAGGCTCCTCCTGTTCCCCTCCCCTAAATTCTCTCTGTTCAGTCAGTCAGTCACTTTTGCTGAGACCTAGAGAAGGAAGTCAGGGGCCTAAAAGGGAACCACTCCCCTCAGGAGCCCAGGGGCCTGGGGGGCAGCGTTCTGATCCTCTGAAGTAGAGAGTGTTGATTCCCATGGCCAGCCCCGTTCCTGTGCGGAGGAGTCACCTCCAGGGGCCCATCCTCAGGTAGGCTCCAGGGATGAGGAAGGGAGAGGGGAGGAGGAGGATCGGATGACAGGCTGCTGCGGGTCTACTACTTGTAGTTTGGTGGAAGAGCAGGATCAAGACTTGACAGTCCCATATGGGGGTGTGTGTGTGTGTGTGACTAAGCATGGCAGGTGACTTAGCAGTATTTTCCCTCTTTCTCTCCCTCCTGAACCCCAGCGTTCTTAAGACCTCACATTCCTCCAGTATCTCCTCATCTGGTCTCAAAAACCCAAAAGGGAGTTAGGATTCTTCTTTCAACTCCCAGTCCCTTAGCTTGAGGCTACTCTGTCCTAAGCTCTCTACTTACAGTGATCTTTCAGGGAGTGTGGGTGCCGGAAATCACCAGATCATCTGATGGGGGCTGGAGAGCTGCACTTGTCTGGGGCATTGGGATTATTACTGCCGAGAAGCTACCTTTTCCAGCTGGCTACCTAAAGCTGGGAGAGACTTGGGGCCTCCAGGGGTCAGGACCTGAGACTTTCCCATGGTGTGGGGAAGGTAAAGGAGAAAGAAGTGGAGATGGTGAACCAGCACTAGGAGTGGAGTGGGAGGACTCTTGGGAAGCTTCCAGTTTTCCTTAGATCTGGATGAGGACTGGACAGGGGTGAGCATCCTACCCATCCAAGCAGACGAATGGCGAGGTGAGGACTTTGGGTGGGTCTGGGGAGATCCTACCAGGCCCGGAAGTGTCATGAAGAAAGTTATGTAACTCCAAGAGGGGGAAGTTTAGCACCTGGATCCTTCCAGCTGCCTGAGTCCAGGCCCCCTCCTTGGACACCCAGCTTGTCAAATTTATTCTTTAATCTTTCTTTCCGTCCCTCCCCTCTCCTTCTGGTATCTGGATCATGTTGGGTTCAGATTTCAACAGGAGCTGTAAAAGAACTTCTGTACAAGATCGAGAGGTGGAGGTGGGAGGAATTGGGGGGAGGGGTGTGTTGAAAGCCAGCCTACAACCACCCTCTTCTCCCTAGGCTGAGATCTCAATTGTGAGCACTGGCAGATAGCCCCCCACCTGATTAATCTGCCCCCTTTCCCTTTTATTTTGTTCAATGAACATCTACTGAGCACATACTATGTGCCCTGGGCACAGCTGCCAGGACAGACAAGTCATTGTGAGTGCTATCAAGACACCCCCAGTTTCCTGTGAGTCTGATGGTGTCCACAGACAACATCACCCCATGAAGCACAGATGACTGACACTGAAGAGCTATGATTCAGTGGGGTCCAGCCTCACTTTTGGTGTTTGGAGCACAGTTAGGCTCCAGTAGAGTGAGTTTTAGGCTGGCTGGCCTGATTGAGATTGACAAGCTGTGTGACCCTAGACAAGTCATATAACCACCCCCATAAGGTGATTGTGGTATGTAATTATAAAGGAGAGATCATGGTCATTATCATCCTCTCATTTCCTCTGCTAGGGGGCTTCCTAATTACCAGCCTCCATCCAAATTAGGCTCACCGTTCTTCACCTGAACTTGGGATCAAGACAGCAGGTGCTTGCTGGATTCGAAGGGAGTGAGGTGTGAGCTGGGTGGGGGCAGGCATGATGCTGGTCAGTTAATTTTAATACAAATCATGTTTATAGAGCCTCATTGTATATGCCAGGCTTTTTGCACGCATTATTTCATTTAATCCTCTTATTAACAGCTCTTCCCAGGTGGTTTCCCTGATGACTCTTCGGTAAAGAATCTGCCTGCCAATGCAGGAGGTGCGAGTTCGATCCTTGGATTGGGAAGTTCCCCTGGAGAAGGAAATAGCAACCCACTCCAGTATTCTTGCCTGAAAAATCCCATGGACAGAGGATCCTGGCAGGCTGCAGCCCATGGGGTTGCAAAAGAATCAGACATGACTGAGCGACTAAACAGCAGCTCTTCACAGGTGGTTTAGTGCTGCCCACGTGTGCACCACAGGTAGTTTATTATAATCCTCACTATTTTACAGACGAAGGAATTGAAGGTTGAAAATAAAGATTCTCACACTTTTAGGGTGAGTTAGAATTATCTGGGATGTTTGTTAAAAACACAGGTCCTTGGACCCAAACCTTAGAAAATCTGGTTAAGTAGGTGTGTGGGGAGACCCAGAATAAAATTCTTTCACCAGTATCCCAGGTGATTCTTATGTCAGTGGTCCATAGGCCACACTTTGGTAGACACTGATGAAGAACTAGAGACTTACCCAGGGCTCATATCCAGGAAGTGAAAAGTTTGAATGTGGGCTTTCTACCTCCCTGAGCTGTGCTGGGATCCTGCATTTCTACACTGGAAATAGGGTTGCACAGCCTTCCTCCCCTCCCTCCCTCTAGGCCCATTGTGAGGATAAAAGGAAATAATGTAGGAGAAAGCACTTTTTAAAATGTAGAGCTGGCAGCATTGTTAAGAGATTATGCGAATACATGCAAATGAGCACCCGTGGGCTTGGCTGTTCACTTTGGAAGCCTGAGCTAGGATGGGTGTTTCCCAGGGTGGCTCAAGAAAGAAGGCAGAACTTTGGTGGTGGGCATTGACCCCTAGTGGGCAGAGTTTTCCATTGTAAAAAGGGCTGATTGAAGTGGAAGATTTAGGGCTGGGATGGGAAAAGATCAGAGCAGGGGCTTTTCCTTCTTCCTGGGTTGTGTCCCCAAACTCAAGGGTCCCTGGCCATGGGGACTGACTGGGAGAGGGCAGCCCCAGCTTGCGCCTGGGCCCTAGAGACAGCGGTACCTCTTTGCTGTGTGATCCCTGGTCGGCTGTCAGTCACCACTTTCCAGCTCATTGGCTGGAAGGCCTTTATGTTGCCGGCCTCCCTCATGAAGCCTGAGCTGGGGCTGGGCTGTATGGAACCAGGACCCTCCCTCGTGGAATAACCTGCTCTTTTCACCTGGAGAAGGTGCAGCAGGGAGGGTGGGAGTGCAGTTTGAAGATAACCCACTGAGGAGGCTGCATCCTCATCCTCCAGCTTCTTTCCCCACCATTTCCCCTCTTTCCCTTCTGCCTCATCTGCATTCAGACCTGTCTTTGGCCAGGACTGCTGGTCCCTGGGGTGAGAGTTGGCCGGTGATGCTTCCTGGGCTGGCTATTTTGGGCGCCCCTATTCCAAAGCTGCTGAGACCCCAGGATTCTAGAGCTGTTTCTGTTCAGGAATGCCATTGTTCTCCCTCCCCCAGCATCCCTGGGAATCGATGCTAATTTCAGCCTCTGGTTCCTGACTCATACTCTTCTCCCTGACTCATAGGGTGACCTTGGGTTTATGAAGCCCCTCTCAGAGGGGAATTGTGCTGGCCACTGTTTCACCTCACCTTGCTTTTAGGTGGGGTGGGGCAGAGCTGGGAGAAGGAGCCAGAGGGGAATGTTTCATTGCTTTCTTTAAAATCACCACCTAAAGTCAGAGAGCTTTGAGTACCTCTGACTGCCTGGGCTGGTCTCCAGCAGTCATAAAGCAGACTTTTAAGAAACCACCCAGTTAATCCCCCAGAATTCGTGAGTGCAAAATATGAGGGATGGTCCCTTCAGGCAAAGCATCCAGTAAGTGAGACCCCTGACCCCACCGTCACCACTTTGGCTCTGGGGGAAGCTGCTTCATGGCAGAGGTAGGGGAGGGGTACAGTCACCCTTTGCCAGAGGCTCTCTCTGGAGCGACACCAGGGAGGCAGGGGTTAATCTTGCTTTGTCCCGGTTGATGGATTCTGGAATCATAATCCATTAGCTCTGCCTGGATGGAGTGAGGCCAGGCAAAAGCATTCAGATTGGTCTTTGTTCTGTGTCTTCGCCATCCCTGCCAGAGACAGAGGGGCTGTGAACATGTACCCCCTCCCTACCCAAACCAAGAGACTTAATGAAAGAATGCTGGGGGCCCTTTTGATGGCTGTTGTTCCCAAAGTCCTCTATCAGAGGGAAAGAGGCAGTTTCATCTCTTGGTTATTCAGACCATGAAACAGATCATCCTCAAAACATCACCCCGGGGGCTTGTACCTGCCTAATTCTGCTGGGCCCCAGGCAATCTAAACAAGAGTTTACAGGAAATACTGACTAAAGGGAAGGTGTTGAGAGGTCAGAGGTGGGTAGGGACTGTGGAAGAGCCTGGGGTTTAACTTTGGGGGGGGAGATAAACTTAGTACAGGTGGTGGCAATGGCCTGTGATGAAAAATATTAGCTGCTGTTATTCTGTTAGAAAGATTAATGCGTTATAGAAGGCTGCGGCTGTTTCTGGAACATGCATCCATCCTATTAGAGGCATCCTCTTGACAAGGTAGCGGCGCCTAAGCAGGTTCTCTGTACCCCACCCCCCCCAGGCTTCGCTACATGGTGAAGCAGTTGGAGAATGGGGAGGTAAACATTGAGGAACTGAAGAAAAACCTGGAGTACACAGCGTCTCTGCTGGAGGCCGTCTACATAGATGAGACTCGGTGAGAGTGGTGACGCGGAGCGGCGGGGAGAAAACCCACACCCAGAGGAGAAAGATGCCAGCCAGACACCGTGATCCAGGGATGGGGAGTCAGACAGAAAGCTGGGGATAGACACGCATGACAGGGCCAGAGGAGGGAGGCGTCCAGTGAGGACAGATAGATCTATTGGTAGAATTATCAGCAGAGATAAGGAGGCAGAGGAACAGAGACTTGCAGAGAGAGACAAACACAGGTTATCAGGAGGAGAAGACCTTTCCAGAGCTGGGAGGGACCTTAAAGCTCAGGGCAGAGGCCTTCCAGACCTGTTCTGCCCAGGAGGGGAGCCACCAGTCACATATGGCTAGTGGGGCTTCAAATGTAGCAAGTGTGAACAGAGATGTGTATGTATATACAAAAAACATGCTGGATTTCAAAGACTTGGAAAAAAGAATGTAAAATGTCTCATTAATATATTTTATATTGATTTCATGTTGAAATGCTAGTACTTTGAGCATATTAGGTTAAAGGAAAGTTATCATTTAAGGAGGTTTCACCTGTTTCTTTTTACCTTTTGAATATGGCTGCTAGAAAACTTGAGCTTTCCAGGTGGTGCTAGTGGTAAAGAACTCACCTGTCAATGCAGAAGACATAACAGACACGGGTTCAACCCCTGGGTTGGGAAGATCTCTTGGAGGAGGGCATGGCAACCCACTCCAGTATTCTTGCCTGGAGAATCCCATGGACAGAGGAGCCTGGCGGGCTACAGTCCATGGGGTCACAGAGTCAGATGTGACTAAAGCAACTTAGCACACACACAAGCACTAGAAAACCTAGAATCACTTATATATGGCTTGCATTTTATTTCTGCTGGACAGCATTGCTGGTCTGAAGCATCCTTGACAGGTGATATCCATGCCACTGGCTGCTTGAATGCTCCCAGATTTGGGGTGCTCACTCTCACATAGTGACCTGTTATAGAGAAACAGAAGTAAAAAACTTAGCAAAAGACAGACAAGGGAGAGTCAGTGAAGGGAGATGCTGGTGTGAGAGTTTCCAGGGTGTGGGGTGTGGCTGGGCCCAGGGTCTCCAGGCTGTGGAAGCACCTGCGGTCTTTCCTCTGTGACTCCCCCTCTGGGGCCTCAGGCAAATCCTGGACACAGAGGATGAGCTGCAGGAGCTGCGGTCTGACGCGGTGCCTTCGGAGGTGCGGGACTGGCTGGCCTCCACCTTCACCCAGCAGACCCGGGCCAAAGGCCGCCGAGCGGAAGAGAAGCCCAAGTTCCGGAGCATCGTACACGCGGTGCAGGCGGGCATCTTCGTGGAGCGGTGAGGCTCGCCGCGCCCTGCCTCCCTCGGCCCCTGGCTGTGGCCCTCTTTTCCCGTGGGGTCTTCCAGGACTCCACTGTATCACCAGCCCCATGTGCCTGTGGCCCATCCACCCAGCCCCAGCTGATCAGATCCCATGATCAGACCTCACTCCGGGGCTCCTTTCCTTCTTCTCCCTCAGGATGTTCCGGAGAACATACACCTCTGTGGGCCCCACCTACTCCACTGCGGTCCTCAACTGTCTCAAGGTGATTCCGGGGAGAAGGTTGGGGAGGGGTACGGAATAGTCCTCAGGACTTTCAGACTTCTATGGGGTGATTTTTACTTCCTCTTTTAATTGTCATTTCCCTGTTTCTCAAAACAACTTTGACCCACTTGAGAGGCAAACTCCTGACTTCTTATCATTCCCATACTGAATGATATCTGGGAAGAAAGAAGCCTGTTTTCCATTTCCTTATTTTCCTGCATCCCATGCGTCTGTAACCATTGGGAAGTCCTCCTTGAGGTCTAACTGCAGCCCTTGCTGCTGCTGGGATGCCCCTCTTGGGAGTCTCCCTGCCTAGTTCCTTGTTTCTCAACAGAACGTGGACCTTTGGTGCTTTGATGTCTTTTCCTTGAACCGGGCAGCAGACGACCACGCCCTGAGGACCATCGTTTTTGAGCTGCTGACTCGGCACAACCTCATCAGCCGCTTTAAGGTTGGGCAGCCTCCTACCTCTGCCTCTGGGCAGGGTTCCTCACTCCCACCAACCTGCTCCTACAGGTGGATTCTGTGGGCTCTCTGGCTCGGTCTCACTGTTGGGGCAGTCACCCTGTGCCCACCCCAGTCTGGCCTTTGCTCCACTTGCTGTGGTCCCAGCCTCTGGCTTCCTGTATTGCTTTCCAGGGGAAGGTTCTAGCCTGTGGCTGTCCAGCCCAGGGTTCTGGCCTGTCCTCCTTTGTCCCCTAACTTGTCCTCTCCAGCCTGGCTGCAGTTCAACCCCATTTCAGCCCTCCTGCCCGTGGACACTGGAGGCCTAGGGTCCAGAGACTGTCAGCTGGTGCCTTGCAGGATTAATGTCTCTCCATCTGTTTTTTTTTTTGGGGGGGGCTCTCCTCCCCTCCCCCTCAGGCTCCAGTCTCTGTCGAAGGAATTTTATGGAGAGGATCAGCTCTTGGCAAGGCTAGGTAGGGCTGGAGGAGGGGAGGGTGTAAACTCCACTTGCTCTTCAGCGTGGCTGGCCGGGAAGAATATGGGATTAAAATCTTCTTCAGATCCTGTGCCAGGAGAGAGCGTCTTTGGGGAACAGGGGCTGGAAAAAAAATCACTTCCTTGTGGAGAAACCACAGTTGGAGGATGAGGGGGATATTAGGTCTGCACTTGGATGGAGTGACAGTGGATGTTAGGTCGGAGAGAAAGTGTGTGTTCTGAGGGGCACGCGTGCCTGTGTGCTCAGTCGCTCAGTTTCGTCTGACTCTTTGAGACCCCATGGACTGTAGCCCACCATGCTCCTCTGTCCATGGAAATTTTCAGGCAAGGATACTGGAGTGGGTTGCCATGTCCCATGGAGGGGCTTGAGGTGTGGTCAAAGGAGTCCAGTAGAAAGGCCCTCCCAGAGGGCTCTGGAAGGTCCCCCAACACCCTTGCTTCCACCTCCCTATAATAGAGTATTGGTGTGTGAGAGCCGTTCCTTGACCCTTGACGCCTCCTTTTACAATAACTCTCAAGGGAGTTCCCAGAACTTTTGTAAGATGCTCTGAGATTCTCTTCAGGCCTCCCTAAGCCCTGTGTTTCTGCAGTTTCATTCTCTTCTTTCCAATCCTGCCCTCTCCAGGACAGAGAATAGCAGGGTCTTCTTTTTCCTAAGACTTTTCTCAGCTCACATTTCTCCAAACTGGCTCTCAGACTTCCTCCAGACACCAAGGAAGGATGGTTCTGGGCTACCCCAAGAGTCACTACATCAGGTTGGGCTTGGCCCAGCCCCAAACCGCCTTGCTCCAAGGCAGTTAGAGAGAGGGGTCTCCATGCTCTAGGGTCCTTGCCCAGTAGAGACCCCAGCTGGAGCGGCTCTTTTAAGCTCCACATTCCCTTTCTGGGCACCCGGCCCCTGTCCTGCCCCTCCCTTCCCTTCCCTTCCTCCAGGGACGCCATGGCAACGCAAAAGCAAGGGCAGTTGTCATGGAAACAGTCCTTTAAAATTCCCTGAATTTGGGGCACAGCCCTCCAGGGGTGGGGGCGGGGGATGTTAGGGTCTGACTGACTAGTGGCACCTTCTCTGTGTCTCGCCACCGCTGCTCATCTCTACAGAGGGTTCCCCAAGCCCTGAACCCCGCTCTCCTCGCAGCCTCAGAGATCCAGCGACAGGTGCAGACACCTGCCTTGCCCTCTGGGGGCCTTGGGACTTTGAAGGAGGTGAACATGCCCCAGGGCATATGCAGAGACCTAGACAGGATCGAGTCTGACAGAGCTCTGGCTCCTGGTGCGCTGTGCGTGCGTGCGTGCGTGTGTGTGTGTGTGTGTGCGTGTGATGGACAGAGGGTGGGGAAGGCTTCTCAGAGCTAGGGTCAGGGTCTCAGGGTCCTCTCTGGGTCTTCTTATTCTTTCCCCTGCTTCTGAGCCCCTCTCCATGGTATTGGTTTGGGGATGGGGTGGGGTGATTGGAAGGTAGGAGGGAAGTTTTCTTTCCTCTTCTTAAAAATCTCCAGGGAAATAATAATAATTATAGCTACTCTTGGGAGAGCACTTGCTAAGTACCTTGTACTGTACTTATCCCATTAAATTCAAGGTAGGTGGTAGTATCTTCATTCTTCAATTAAGCATCAGAGACAGGGAGGCACGTGACTTGCCCAAGGTCAGACAGCCAGTGGGACGCAAGCCCAGTTCACTGCAGGGCCAGTGCTCTCCTAGCGCTGTTGTATTTTCATGAAAGGGCCTCACTGACCTCTGTCCTCGGTGGCCTGCCGTTTGCACATCCTCCACAAATCTCAGTTGCCCCTCTCCCACTGCAGATTCCCACTGTGTTTTTGATGACTTTCCTGGATGCCTTGGAGACAGGCTATGGGAAGTACAAGAACCCTTACCACAACCAGATCCATGCAGCTGACGTCACCCAGACGGTCCACTGCTTCTTGCTCCGCACAGGGATGGCGGTAGGTGCCCTGGAGGTCACTCTTCTGGGATTCAGGGTCTTACGGCTGCAGAACCGGGGAGTCCAGCCTACAGTCGATACTCTCATTTCCTTTTTTCTCTCTTCGGGTCCTCTCCTTTGGCATCCCAAAGTCTTTCCAGAGTCGGATTGGACTTATTCACTCTAGAGAATTCCTGGGTGCACCGTAACTTCCTGGGTAGCACTGGGGCTGTATGGCCAGATGCAGAGGGAATATTGTCAGTAGGGATGGAAGAGGGTCTCTGGCAGTTCTTGGAGCTGAGAAACCTGACTGCATTTAGCCCAAGAGCTGGACAGGAAGCATGGTGGGGCTGGGATGAGCAGTCCAACCTGCATGTGGAGGTCTTTGGGCAGCCAGCAGGGGGTCAGCCCCCTCTCATTGTCTGTCTCCTTCTCCCAGCACTGCCTGTCGGAGATTGAGGTCCTGGCCATCATCTTTGCTGCAGCCATCCACGACTACGAGCACACTGGCACCACCAACAGCTTCCATATCCAGACCAAGTGAGGGGCGGGGGTGTGGCAGGGGCGGGGTGGGTGGGCAGCAGTGGTGGTCCGGGGGGCTGGGCCTGGTGACCATGTGCTTTGCAGGTCGGAATGTGCCATCCTGTACAACGACCGCTCAGTGCTGGAGAATCACCACATCAGCTCGGTTTTCCGAATGATGCAGGACGACGAGATGAACATCTTCATCAACCTCACCAAGGATGAGTTTGTGTGAGCAGAAGCCAGGCGTGGGCACCCCTGGAGACCCCCTCACCCCAGCCCCCTCTTCCTGCTTCCTAGGCTTCCTGTCTAGCAGTGCTGATCACTCCTCGGGTTCTGTCCCTTCAGAGAGCTGCGGGCTCTGGTCATCGAGATGGTGTTGGCTACAGACATGTCCTGCCATTTCCAGCAAGTGAAGTCCATGAAGACAGCCTTGCAGCAGCTGGAGAGGTGACATCTGGTGGGGTGTGGCTGGGGTGAGGCCAGAGTGAGGGGTGTGTGAATTGGAAGCCATCCTCAGGGTAATGGGTGTGCCAAGTCTTTACCAGGATATAGAAACTCTCCTGGCTCCAAGTATCTGAGGGTATCTGGTGTATGTGACGGATGTGTGCACCTGGCCTTGGGTTTGTGGACAGCCCAGGCAGCCAGACTACTGGAGAGCGTTTGAGTTGGGGGTCTGAGATTGGTGTCCTCAGGGAAGCTTCAGGACAGGCATACTCTGGAATGTAATGGAAAATCATTCAGCCCTCTGGACTCGTTTCCCTATGTGTGAGAAGTGAAAATGATATGCCCCCCTCCACAACAGCTCACTGCCAGCCCCCACTCTAACAGGGCTACTAGGAGAGTTGTGTGAGGTTAAAAAAAAAAAAGCACAGAACAAATGTCGTAATTACATCTAATGTTGCTTAAAAGTGGGTGGGAGTATATAAATGTAAGAGAGAACAGACGGTGTTTGTGTGTGTCCTGAAGGTGTGTGTTAATGCACAGTGTCTGTGTGTGGGAGAGTGGGCAGGGTCAGAGCGTGTCATTGTTGGCGAATCATAATAATAATTATAATAATAATAATTATAGGTAACGTCTACCGAGCACTTATTAGGTGCCAGACACTATTCTAAATACCTATATGTTGTATGTCATTTAATTCTCAGAACAACTCTTTGTGGCAGATCCTGTTTTGATTTCTACTTAGGACTGGGGAAAATGAAATATGGAAATTTTAAGTGACTTGCTGTACATCACACAGCTAGTGTGTGAAATGTATAGTGAGGATTCGATTCCAGGCCGTTTGATTCTGAGAGCTTGGGCTGTTTTCTATACACATGTAAGAGTGTGTGTGTGTATCTTGTCTCAGAGGGTATTTGATGTTAGATCTGAGAGAGAGTGTGTGATGGGAAGTTAGGAATGGTCCAGGCTTCCTTTTCCTAAAGGATCAGTCTCCCTTCCCTTGCCACCTGCCCCGACAGGATTGACAAGTCCAAGGCCCTGTCTCTGCTGCTTCATGCTGCTGACATCAGCCACCCCACCAAGCAGTGGTCAGTTCACAGCCGCTGGACCAAGGCCCTCATGGAGGAATTCTTCCGCCAGGTAGGGGGCATCTTTGCCTGCCCCTGCCCACAGGGCCTTCTCTCCCCCATGTTTTCCAAGTTCCCTGTTCCTCCTCCAGCTCCTTGTTCAGCTGCCTGCAGCTACCAACCTGATCCCAGACCCATGGGATAGAATGTCATCTCCAAAAAGCTTAACAGTCATTGCTGGCAGTGGCATTTGCATGCGCTCATTTCCAGGTCAAAGGCACAGAGCTCCCTCTTCTCCCCCTGCAGCCCCTCTACCCGCAGCTGCACCCCAACCAGGTAGACTGAAATAAGTCCCCACTCTGTCTGCTCCCCCAGGGTGACAAGGAGGCAGAGCTGGGCCTGCCCTTTTCTCCGCTCTGTGACCGCACTTCCACCCTGGTGGCGCAGTCCCAGATTGGTGAGTGTCACTTCCTGCAGGGAGGAGAGGGTTGGGAAAGGTCAAGGATGCTGGCTGGGCTGGGCCGGGTCGGGACTGCTCCCAGTCCCCATTCCTAAAGCTGTTTTTCCCGTCAAGGCAAGCTGCTGTGCTGGAGCGTGGAGGGCTGGGGTGGAGTTCTCTGGGGTCACAAAGACATCATCACAAAGGTTGCCCCCACTGGGAACTTTTGAGCCCCAGGTGACTGTGTTCCATGCGGCTGGGGGCACCGGCGTGCCGGCCGTGTCCTCTGCGCAGCTCCCCAGGTCAGCTTTATCCCTGTTACATGCACTGCAGGCTTCATCGACTTCATTGTGGAGCCCACGTTCTCTGTGCTCACCGATGTGGCTGAGAAGAGTGTCCAGCCCACCGGGGACGACGACTCCAAGTCTAAAAACCAGCCCAGGTGAGTGAGGGTGGTGGGGTGGCCAGAGGGCCCACAGAGAGAACCGACTGATGGGGGCGGTAGGGAAACAGTGACTCCTCTGCTGTGGGTCAGATGTCGGGGCGAAAGGATAGGGGCAGAGGGTGCGGCCTGCACCCGAGTCCCCTCCACCATATTTTAATCTCTCCCATTAGCTCTGTCCTTATTGCCTTTCTGGCTAATGCTGTTTTCATTTTCCTTCTAGTAGAAGGGAAGGTATGGAGAGAGGTGGGGACTGAGGGGGGGCGGTGGCTACCCAGCAAAGAGAAAAGGATGAGGCTTCCATTCTCTCTACTCTTGAGGGCATGGAGGACCGTCCTGGGGTGGGCGGGGTCTCACCTCCACAATGTGGGCGGGGTCTCACTTCCACAATGTGGGCGGGTCCTGCTTATAGCTTCCAGTGGCGCCAGCCTTCTCTGGATGTAGAAGTGGGAGACCCCAATCCTGACGTGGTCAGCTTCCGCTCCACCTGGACCAAATACATTCAGGAGAACAAGCAGAAATGGAAGGAACGGGCGGCAAGCGGTGGGTCCACTGGCAGGATAAGGCCTTGTCGGGAGGGCGGCTGATGGAGCAACTGTGCTGTGCTTAGTCGCCCAGTCTTTTCGACCCTGTGGACTGTAGCCCGCCAGGCTCCTCTGTCCATGGGGATTCTCCAGGCAGGAATACTGGAGTGGGTTGCCATGCCCTCCTCCAGGGGATCTTCCCAACCCAGGGCTCGAACCCAGGTCTCATGCATTGCAGGCGGATTCTTTACCACCTGAGCCACCCACCAGGGAAGCCTGAGCAGCAGTGGGTCCATTTTCCCGAAGCCCCTTGAGCAGCCCTTTGCCTTCCCCGAGTTGGGAAAAGGGATCAGGCACAGGCTGACCCACCTGGAATGTTCTAGAATGGGGGCTGGAGAGACGATAGGGACAGCAGTATTCCACTGCCCTAGGGGCCCCGTGCACACCGGCGGTCTGTCAGTGGTGTGGCTGGGGTAACTGGTGGCTCTGGCTGAGGTGTCTCTTCCTTATCGTGGGGGCTGAGGGCTGTGCATTTTAGCAAGGCTGGGGAGCCTCTCCCCAGGAGGGCACAGGTTGAACATAGCTCAGCTCAGCTTGAAGGAAGAGGGTGCGTGAGAATCACTTCCTTTTCTCCACGTATCCCTTGGGTTCGGAGAAAACCTACTGCTCTGCCTGGTCCCAGCTTCCTCCCCGCTCTCCTACAGGCATCACCAACCAGATGTCCATTGACGAGCTGTCCCCCTGTGAGGAAGAGGCCCCCGCCTCCCCTGCTGAGGATGAGCACAACCAGAACGGGAATCTGGACTAGCGGGGCCTGGCCCCGGTGAGCCTGTGGCAGTGGGCGGGGAGGAGGGCGAGGTGGGTGTCCGACAGGCCTCTCAGAAGGGGCATCTCTGGGCTTCCGCAGAGGCGAGGTTCTCCCTCGCTCCTTCCAGGCGGGAACCTGGAGGAAGTGAACACAGAGACCGGAGCCGGGGCCCAAGTGGGAAGCAGGGGGTGTCCTCCTGCTTCTTGGTCCAGACCCTCCAGGAAGAGAGGGGGCACCTCCCCAGTTCAGGGTGGGGCTGAGCAGCTCTGAGTCAGGGTCAGGAGAGGCACAGCCAGGCCCCAGGCTCCGGAGCTCAGCGCGGCATGACTTCATTCCCACACCAACCCTCCCCTACCCCCCAATGCCCTTCTTCTGCAGGGCATTTTTTTGCAGCTGCACCGGGCACTAAGTGGGGTCGGACCTGAAGAAGGTAAGGCAGGCTGGAGATGAAGGCAGAGATCAGAGCACTGAGGTGTCCTCTGTTCTCTTAGGTCCTCACTGAATCCAGAGTGTTTGATGTCATCAGCACCATCCATTGGGACTGGCTGCCCCATCTGCTCCGAGGGAGCATGGACATCGAGGAACAGAAAACCCACCCAAAGGACGAATGCCAGAGATTGTGGGGTTGGGGGAAGGGCCCCTCCCCACCCGACACCCATTGGGGTGCACTTTACTCTCCCGGTGGCAAGACTGGGGAACTTCGGGCTCCCAATGGTCACTGTGTCCATCCCCCTGCCTCTGGACTCTCCCCGTGGCCAGATGACTGGTTGGTTGGGAGCTTCCTGGAGGTTTCCCAGGGCTTGGGGGGAGGGTTGGAGATGCCAGCCCCCTGGGCCCTCCCCCATCCTTTTTGCCTCCAAGTTTCTAAGCAATACATTTTGGGGGTTTCCTCAGCCCCCACCCCAGATCTTAGCTGGCAGGTCTGGGTCCCCCTTTTCCTCCCCTGGGAGGGGCTGGAACAGGATAGGAAGCTGGGGGTTTTCTGAGCTCTGTGCACAGGGGCGTGGGCTCCTTCAGGGCATGGCACCTTTCTAGGGCCTGGCAATGGGGCATCCTCTGTACCCCAGACCTGCACTGCTTCACCCCCACCCCGCCCAGACTCTTCAGTCTTCCCTCTCTCCCATTCTGGAATGGTGACTGGGGGAGGAGGTGCCATAGCCACCAGGGGCTGAGAGGGGGGCCTCTCCTGGGGTCCTCAAGGACTTGGGTTTCGGCTCTGGGGCTTGTCACCTGCCCTGGCCGAGTCCTGACCCTGTCGCCTCCTTCCCCTCCCCTGGGGCCAGGAGGCTCCCATCCGACCAATGTCTGTAAAGTGCTTTGAGGTCTCCCCAGAAAAGCACCTTCAGGATGCATCCTAGAGCTCAGGCAGGAGAGCTGGGTTGGGGTCAAGGGCGCACGGGGAGGGTGAGGTGTCCTCAGTAATCCTGCGTTGCTGACAGAGAGGGTCCCTCCCCTCCCAGCCCCGGCCCAGGAGGCCCTTTCCTGGGACAAGTGAGGAGTAGCAGGTGGAAGGCAGCTGGGCAGAGGCTCCGGAGTGCTGCTGTCGCCTCCTCTGCGGCCAGCCCAGCCAGGCCCCGGCCCTTCCTCTCCTCAGGCTCCTCTGGCCCCGCTCTGTCCCAGGAAAGGCCCACGTCCAGTGACTGCCCTCCTCCTCCCTTGTAAATACCAGACATGCATTTGTACAGTGGGCCCTGTGCGTGTGAAGTCGTATCCACGGTCTTTCTGACCTGCCACCTGCCACTCGTCCCTCCTACCCCACCCAGAGCGGGGTAGAGACGCATGTGACTGACCCTTGTCCACGGTCTCTCAGAACCCTGCTATAGCCAGAGATCAATAAAGAAGGGAGACCAGGCCTGGCTGTGTGTGTTGTTTGCCGGGTGAAAGTGCATCGGGCGTCTTCGCGTGCACTGTCTCTTCAAGCTGATAAAACCCTGGTGCTGTGTGTGCCCTGTTATATATGGAGGCCAGAGAGGTGAGGTTCTGCCTGAGGGTGTGCAGCAGGGCTGGCAGAAGGGAACTTCCACTTCTGAAGTGCTTTTTATTCTCTCCAGCATACTACTCCTTCTGAAGAGGGGTGAATCTTGCCTTCCCTCCGCTGCCTGGAAAAATCAGAAGCGGTGGGCAGGAAGAGGCCTGGCTGTGGAGTCTGAGAAAGGTTATTCACCTCTGCTCAGCTTCTGTCCTTCACCCTGGCCCCTCAGTGTCAAGGACAAGGGGAGAGGTGACCTTTCCAGTTCCCGGCAAGGGCCTCTTCGTGAATGCCCCCCGTGGCCTCAATCTAGCTTGGCTAACAGGTTGGAATCTGGGTGGTGGTCTCCTCTCAGCTGCAGAGGGAACACATCCTGAAGTTTGGGAATCACCAAGTGTCGGAGGGCAGGCACGGAGGCATCGAAGCAACATACCCTCTCTTTCCCAAGGGCCAAGTGCCAGGGTGCAGCTCCCCACTTTTTCCAGCAGAGGGCGCCCACAGCACCATCATAGCTGGCCAGGCCTTAGGGTTCCAAGACCGCCAGATGAAGGTGGTTGTCTTTTTCCTCATTACGAAGAGAACCTGGGGCCATCCTGCCTTCTTGGCACCTTGGAAGGCAGTTCTCCCACCTGTCTGACCCCTAGCTCTCTTCTCCCAGCGAGTAAGGGTAGAGCTGGAAAAACACCTCCCTTCTCAAGGCTCCTGCCCAGCTTCCCTTTTCCCTCCTTCCTGGAGGCAGTTGGGCAGAAGGGAGGGGGCTGCAGAGAAGGCAGGACAAGAGGGGAGGGAGAAGAGATTCTTCAAGTTGGGAAAGAAGGAAAATGTCAAGGACTTAACACCAAATTTATCACTTTTTAAAAACAAGAGGTTTTTCCCCCAAAGTGAGGAAATAAGAAACAAATCCAGTGTCCATGCATTCTCAACTGCGGGCTTGATTCTAAGACGCCTCCTCACTCTCAGACCTGTTGCAAGGGAAGTGGGTAGAAAGAGAGAGTGAGTGAGAGGCCTGCGGTCCTACTGCCCCCTCCCCTGCTGGTGTGCCCAGCCACCCCATTAGTCAGGCATCTTAAGTGTGACGTCCCATTCCAGGCCCTGGCCCCTCGTCCAGTCTCCACAGGGGAGGGCAGACTGTCAAATTAGAGCTCACGAGGTCATTTCATCCCTGTCTCCGATCCAGGCAAGACCACCTGGAGCCGTCATCCAGCCTGGGCAGATGAGGCTCTCCCTTTGGGTTCTAAATGCCCTCTATCAGAAAATCCATGGTCTACTTCCATCATCCATTCCAGGAGCCAGAAGTCCTCAGAGTCTAACCTCAGTACCTCCTGCTGCAGCTGAATCCCATTTCTCTTTATCCATCATTGCACATGCTCAGTTGTGTCTGACTCTTTGCTACCCCATGGACTGTAGCCTGCCAGGCTCTTCTGTCTATGAGATTTCCCAGGCAAGAATACTGGCGTGGGTTGCCATTTCCTCCTCCAGGGGATCTTCTGGACCCATTGATCTAACCTGTGTCTCTTGCCTCTCCTAAGCATTGGCAGGCAGAGTTTTTAACCACTGAGCCGCCTGGGAAGCACATTTGTCCATCAGGGGAGATGCAAATCCTCTGGCCATAGAGGACAGCTTTTCAGAGGCTGAAGTTGGTCCTTTGTTACCTTTCCCTGACTCTAGACCTCAGCCCTCACCCTCCTCACACAGCCTGCTCTCCTGCAGACTGGGCACGCAGCCTGGGGGTCTTACCACGTTGGCTCCCTGGCAATCCAGTGGTGGTCACTGGCTTGAGGGTCCCTTTGTGCTGGGTTTCTCACTGCCCCTCTCCTGAGTGTTAGGGATGGATTCTGCAGGCTCTGAGGAGGGAGAACAGGTGGCAGGAGGGAGAGGTAGTGCTCACCAGGGCTTGGAGAGAGGGAGCTGCTTCTGCTTACCCCATCCCATACTCCAACAACCCTTGAGAGGAGCCCAAGACCAGCTGAGGGCAAGGGGGCAAGACCTACAGGGTTTTCTCTGGTCACAATGACTACTTAGGTTCACTATTTTTTTGAAGTCTGCAATCAGGAAAAAAAAACGACAAACCTCTAAAAAAGCTTAAACATTTGCATATGATCTCAGTGTGTGGCTAAACCTCACCTGAATGGAGAGGAGGCTTTTGATAGCTTATACATCCCACTTAGTGTGCCCATTCATTTCCCTGCAGAAATATTCACGTGTTTGACTACACTGCTGGGAGTATGACGGAACACACAGTATATATACTGTTGTCACTGGAAAAATTCTGACTTCTCGCCCACATCTGGGATAAGGACCCGTGGACATGCAGCTTCCATTTCTTGCATGCTTTGTGTGTATTTGCTGCTGAGCTAAGGATCAGTCTCATTTAATTTTCACAAACAACCCAATGCAATAGGCGCCATCATTATCACTTAGCTGACTGAGGTTAAGTAAGTAGCTCAAGGCCTCGGGGCTGGTATAGTGGCAGAGCCAGGATTCCAGCCCAGAAAGCTGCTTCCATTCTGACAGGCTCCCCTCACCATATATCAGGGACCTGGGAAGTCCAAGTGGGAGGGGATGGTGTCATTCAACAAGGAAAGGTGAAGAGATGCAAACACATGCTGGTTATGCAAAGGATCCATATTCTCAAGATGGTTTCTGGCTACTGCTAGGCCCCTCCCCACAGCCAATAAGGCTGGCCTCCCCTGGGCTGGTCCCTCCCCAGCCTCAACGTACTGTGTGTTTTCCCAGAGGTGCCCGGCTGTGACTCCGCTGCTGTGTCTGTGATCCCGGGTGGGCAGGACTCCTGGGTCCCTGTGCTCTCAGCGGCTCCTTCAGGCTCCTCTCCCTGCTCCTGTTGCCCCAGGTGATGTTCAACCATCATCTGGAGCTCTGGGGGTGAAGGGAAAAGGGGAGAGCATTGGACGTGACTGCCCTGTCTCCTCTGCGGACCCTCAGCTTCGACAGCTCCACTAGAGGGCCAGCGCACACTGCCTGTGTGATTTGACTTTCCTGTCCAAGGAAGGACATTCACTGGCCAATGAGGAGGGACTAAAGCTAGACAATAAAATGTACTTTCTTCAAAGCTGAGAGAGGGGAAGGGGAAAGCCTTTAAGAACGAGAGATCCCTCTGACTTGCTGGGATACCTGGTCTCCCTTGTGGGCAGGAGAAAAGACTCCATTTAGATTCAAGAAATATTTGAGTACCTTCTCTGTGCTGTGCACTGCGCTGGCTGACTTCACATACTTTATTTAACGGTCAAAGTGAGGTAGTATTCAGGGGCCCTGGAGGTTAAGTGGGTTCTCCAGGCTACCCAGCTAGTCGGTGGCAGAGCTGGAATGCAGCACCCGCCCCCCCACCGCCCCCTCGGAGTCCAGCAACTCTCCTTTGGCAAAGGCAGGTTTAACAGCTTCCCAAGGATTCCTTCCAAAGGGGTGTCGTCCTGGCTACTGCTCAGCATCAGGTGTGGCAGGGAAGGGTTTTCCGAACCTTTCATTGTGGGTGTGGTCCTCGTCACCTTCTTCCGTTGCCGTGGAGACATGGACAAAGTGGACTGTGAAGGGCATATAGCACAGGTGGGCGCCCACCCTTCTTGCCCTCCCCTCTGCCTTGCCAGGCTTTTAGACTGGAGACTGGGGGGAGGTGTAGGCTTCAGAAAGTGGGGGGAAGAATACTCTTGCTTCCCCAGCCCCTACCCTGCCCATGATGGTGAGCAAGAAGACTGTGTTGGGGGAATGTTGGGGACTGTGCATGCACCTCCACTCAAGAACATGTGAAGGGCACAAGCAGGAGGGAGACAAAAGGTCCTACAGGTGGGGCGCAGTGGCTGGAGGCATAATCCTCTAATAAGTCTGGGGGTTCTCTTCACTGGGCTGAGCGGGAGGGGCCAGCTCACCTTGAGAAGTGGGTTGGGGATCCGGTCTTCATCTACCTCTGAGGGAAGGAGGGAGAGGAGAAAGTGATGGGGATGGGAGATTCAGGGGGGCCCTGGGCAGTCTGACTTCTCAAGGGGAGGAGCCCCTGCAATCAGCTCCCTTGTGATTGGTCCCTCACATCTGCCCCTAGGAAGCTGGTCCTGATGGGCTGTGCTGGCCTCCTCCCTCCAGCCCCATCCTGCTCTGCTGGTTGGCTTTATCTCCTGCTTCTAGTCTGGTCCTTGTCTCTGTGGTTAGCCTGCATCTACATCCTTGCCTCAAACCTGGAGGTTCCTGAAGGCAGGCTTTGTGGTCCTTCTGCTTTTTTCCTCCTTCTGAAATATCCATCTCTGCCTCCTTCCAACCATTCTCTCTACCCTGGATCTAGAATTGGACTGAGCAGAGGAGAGAACGGCAAACTTGTCCTGTACAGGGCAATCCTTTTAAGTAGTTGGAGGGAAGTTGGAGGCTCAGACATCCAGATTGCCAGTCGGGCTTCTTAGCGTCACCATCTCTCTTCCACTCTCCCGCCAGCGCCCCTGACATTCTCTGAGACCTTGCTGTCTCTCCAGACCTTGATGGGGACACTGGCGACCAGAATGCCAGCTGCTCCCTAAGCTGTTTCTAACCTTCCCCTTCCCCTCTGGGGGCTGTGAAAATAGCTGATGGAGGCGGTCCCACCCCCTCACAGCTGTCACCGCCTCTGGGGATGGGGGCAGCGGCCTCTCAGTTGCTGGAGAAATCTGGAAGGCTGTTGCCGCAGCAACCAGCACTCCACTGACCACCCCAACTCCTGGGGGGCTTAGGAACCAAGTGGTCGCCTGCTCGGTCTTTCCAAAGCAAAGGAAACCCTCCTGCTAATCCAGCCGCTACTTTCATGCCTCCGGGACCGAGGAGACTTCTGGCTCCTCAGACCTGCCCTGCTATCTATCTAGCACCCACCTTCTCTCACTGGGACCAAGCTGTCTTCAGCAGCCCCCACT